AATAATTAGCATGTACCTGAATAATATATTTGTTCCGGGTCGCGAATGATTTGTCGCGTGTGTTGCGCCATGGCTTAGCTGAGAAGCACGGGGCGAGGGAACTCTTTCGGGTATCGGTAATTAACAACAAGATCAATTACATTAATAACTTATCTTCATTTGGGACTCGTCGCATGTAATAATTGCGCGTGATATGTCTAATTGACCGGCTTTCTTTTTGGAGAATATTGTTTTAAAAACGGACGGATTTTCCTCTTGAAATGTAACGAGTGTAGCAAATAAATTGTCGATAGTTTTACCAATAATAAAAATGCCTCAAACATATTGACACTTAATTCTATTTCGCCGCAATATTAAATAGCGACATCGCAATACTAAGTAAACGCTCAACCGGTGCCGCATGATGATATAATCGTGTGGAACTTTAAAAACAAATGTTTCATATGAGAGTCGCTATCGATGTGACATCTTTTTCCTTCGTTGACGAATAAGAAAGAACTGCTATGCCGATGGCAATGTCAACTGCTTCCACGTGACTTTCGTCCTCTAAAAAATTTAAACAATTGTTCATCTTCCACAGAAGATGCTGAACAGTTATCAGAAGATATTTTTGCTTTCATTTATTAAATACGCATATCTTTTTCTTTCTCTAATAAGCAAATTTTTACAACATTCGTGATTCAGGTCGTTTTTTTGAAAAAATCCATGCTCCCTGAAATCAAGTTTAGCCATTTCAACTAAAGTTTAGGAACAGTCACAGATGAAATAATGTAAGGTTTACTGCATATACTGTCGAAATTCAATATAGTATTCCACAACTTTTTCTAATCCTATCTATTAGAGAATTTATCAAGGGTTCGCAACTAGGTAATCCGTGAAGCGTCTGCAAATTAATTATAAGTTGCAGCAAAGCTGGCAAGACGTAACCTAAATAACAATAGTTTCCTCCCTGAAGCAAATCAAGAGTGCATGCTAAATTTTTCATTACCACAGCATATTTTTCAAACAAGCACGTTCCTGTATCTTGAGCCACTCAGGAGATGAAAACTCTTTTCTGTATATCTAAACGTTTACGAGATACTGAAGGTTAAAATTTTTAACTTGTACTCCAAATATCTCCGTATCTACCAAGAATTGAGAGTTGAGATTTATGGTGAGAATAGGGTTGACATAGGACACATATTGCGACAAAAACGAGCTCCTGTATGTTGAGACGTCTAGGAGATAAAAGGCCCTTTACTGTATCTTTAACCGTTTAGGAAATATCGAAGTTTAAAATTCTTAATTTGTACAGTAAATATCTCCGTACCTACTAGGAACAGGGAGTCGAGATTTATGGTGGTGAGAACAGTGTTGATATAGGATTATATTGTGGTAGAAGCGCGTTCCTGTATCTTGAGCCGTTTAGGAGATATCGAAGGTTAAAGTTTTGAAACTTGTACCATTGATATCTCCGCTTCTACTGGGAGCAGAGAGTCGTAATTTATGGAAAAATGTAGGTTTTTGAGAGGACTTTAATTTGGTGCCAGAACCAGGCCTGTATCTCTAACCGTTTAGGAGATATCGAAGGTTAAAGTTTTCCAACCTTTCTCCGTTGATATCTCCGCTTCTACTGGGAGTAGAGAGTCGCCATTTACGGCAAAATGTAGGGTTTTGAGAGGACTTTAATTTGGTGCCAGAGCCAGGCCTGTATCTAACCGTTTAGGAGATATCGGAGATTAAAATTTTTCAGCTTGTACCGTTAATATCTCCGCTTCTATTGTGAATTGAGTGTCGAGATTTAGGGCAAAAGCGTGTACCTGTTTTTTTGAGTCGTTTATGAGATACCGAAGATTACATGTTTAAATTTAAATATAATTTTAGTTTAATTCTTTAATTTTAATGTTGATATTTTCGTTTCTACTTGGAGTTGGAAGTCGATGTTTATGGCGTGAATACGGTTAATATAGGACTATATTGTGGCGAAAGCGCGTTCCTAGGTTTTGAGCCGTTTCCGCGAAGAAACTGGTCGGAGGACGTTCGCAGCCGTGGTGGAATTTGACGTTCGCGTTCGCAAGGGCTTAGTATTTTACTCGCGAAGGGACGTCATCGTCCTTCTTTTCACAACGGTGTCGGATGTTTAGCTCCTTTCTTCCTAATTTTCTGCGACAACAAGACCGCGTCGGGGCCCTAACGGGGCATGTTCGCTTATAACTAGCAGCGTTTATCTGAGGAGCGCTTCTCGGGAATATTCTGCTCGAAGGATTAGTCCGCGATAGAACGTTTCCTGTGATCGGAGACCGCTTTAGTTTAAAGTTAAATTGTAGCAAGAGTATTGTTATCGGGCAGCTCTGATGCGGGCTGCTGGCATCAATCTGTGACGTCTACCGCGCGCTTTTGCGATTACCGGTAAATTCAGTGTTCTCGATTGCTCGCGCGATTTCAGGTGGCCATAATATGGGGATAATACGTGGCAATGTGTGGCAATAATATATAGCAGTAATATACGGCAACCAATATATGGCAACAATATATCGCAACAATATATGGCAATAATATATAGCTATAATATATGGCAATAATTCATGGAATATATTTTTCGTTATAAATGTCAATGGCAAAATTTGCGGCATGCACAATATAATAATAAAAGAGCTCTCTGTAAGTATTGAGTCAAACGCTCACCAATGATGATGTTGGTAATGTCCCGTTGCCAATGTCCAACCAGGTCTACCAATGTTCTTCCATGTCCGCTACCGCTCTCCATGTCGCGCAGCATTCATCTTGCAGCGCGTCCCACGGTGATTGCTACACTTTCGCGACGCGGTCGATATTTGTATTAGAGCGGCGATATTTGCGTTAAATAACGAACGTTTTATGTCGACATCGGTGGAAACTTTTTACGCGCTGCGAAACGGACTTTATAAACTCGATCGGCAAGGAGCAAAAACTGTGTGAAAATTTATCGACTCGTCCAACGGACTTTTACGGCGCTTTTCGCGATTGCATCGGAAAAGTCACGAAAATGCGGTATTATCGATATCTACGAGTGCAATATTCACGAATGCACGTGAGGAAAGATTAGATAATCAAAAGCCGGTCGCTTCAAGGGAACGCAAAAAATAGAGAAGCGGGGCAACGTTTTCACGCATGATAGTTCCGTCACGACGAAGCTTACGTTCGCGATGCTTTGGCGAAATGAGAATTTAAGTGTTCTTTGTTGGAGCACGGGTAAAAATGCGTATTTTGATAACCGCGGTCGCGATATTCAAAGGCACGCGAGCGAGGATACCTCAAGCTCGGCGTGCGCTTGCGCAATCTGTGCTCGCATTATACGCTACTCGAGACAATAGGGATCGTGATGAATGGACAATATTGCCATATAATTCTACAGCCTGTTTTGCAAATAAAAGAAAAGCAGCAACGGTATCGGCATTTATGCGTATGAATATATTTTACACGGACAATTGAATATTGTCAAATAATTATATCGTTAAATAACTCTGCGGCCCGCTTGAAAAATAAAAATAAAGCAGCTGATGACGATTTCGTGTTTGTACATCGCGGTTGTACAGAATATTTCTTATTCAGATGACTGAATATCAATAGAGAATCATTCACTATTTTAAATCTCGTATGTAATGCAGGATATCGCGAACAAATAATTCCCTAATTGTTTCGAGCAATGTATTGAATTCAACGTCACAAACACACACATGCAAGAATCTATTTGCAATTCGCATTGACTTGAACGATATTTCATCTAGTCACACCATATCCGTCATGCGGAATTTTGTTTTTCTTTTTATTTTGCATTTACTCACCGAAACGACTTGCAGTCAGAGCCGGCCACGTTCCGCTTCAACTCTGTAACAAAAAATTCACATTCGTTCATGAGATCAGACCAACGAGTGCGGGCGAGTAAAATTGTAGTTTACCCTTTGCGATCGTAATTCAAGTCGAGTCGGAAATTATATCTCAGCTCTAGATCGCCAAGAGTCAAACAGAGGATTATAGTAAATTTGTAAACTTACCTTCAAGCCGACTCTGCTTGGCCCGAACCGAATCCTTCGGTGCGGCACCCGCGTCCGCCGAATTGCTGTTGTTTTCCGCACAACTGAAACAGAAAAATAATTTCCCGGTTAATAACCTGCGGTAGAGAGAGAATATCTTGGATCGGGCGAATCGAAAATACGGAAATATTTTGATGTGGGATTTTTATCTCAATATTTATATTTCAATATTGAAGATTTAAATGAGACATGAAACTTTCAAGAGGGCTGATGAGGAACAAGTTGCAAAGGCAAAGATCGTAAAGGGTTGAACACAGATGTATAGGAAACTTGTAAACTTTACCTTCCGATCGACTCTGCTTGGCCCGACCGGATCCACCGGTACGGCATCCGCATCTGCCGGATTGTTGTTACTTTCCGCAACAACTAAAACAGAAATGTAGTTTTCCCAGTTGATAATCTGTGGTGGAGAGAGAATATCTTTGATCGAGGTAAATCGGAAATACGGAAATATTTTGATATGGGATATTTATCTCAATATTTTAGTTTCAACATTGAAAATTCAAATGAGACATGAAGCTTTCAAGAAAGCTGATGAGGAATAAGTTGCAAAAGCAAAGATGTTAAAGGGTTGGACAAAGATGTGTAAAACACTTGTAAACTTTACCTTCCGGCCGACCCTGCTCTGCCCGAACCAGATCCTCCGGTGCGGCATCAGCGTCCGCCGGACTTGCTTCTCGCAACGTCTGGAACAAAAATTTAGCGTTCCTGGTTGGTAAGCAGCGATAGAGAAAGAATGTTTGATCGGAATGAGTGGAGAATATTCGCTACGGTTTTTTTTTTTTTTTTTTTTTTCTTCATTGACATTGAAAGTCTAGATAGGACATGGAGCTCTTGAAAGAGCTGACGAAAAAAGATGACAACAAGAAACGGAGACAACAGTTGTGTGCTTTCGAAAATATTCTTTTACAAATGGACATTTAAATTTGAATCCCGTAAGGAGAGTAAGCAAACTTGGAATTTTGTAATGCTTGACGCAAATTTTGTGATACCATTATTTTTGGAGAAGATACAAATAAAATGATATAATTTGATTTTGGTTTATTTTTATTTGGTTAAATTGTTATCTTTTTCTATAAAAATAGAAATTTAGATAATAATATTTCATGTTAACGTATTTAGATTAGTTATCATATAAAAATAATAAATACATGGTACTCAATGCATGCGACTTACATTGTCGTATTCTTACTGGTGTCCTTTACTCGCGGCATCATAATCCTCGACCGAAATAATCCCTGTGTCTCGGAACGTCGCCTCATCCCTCATTGTGAATGTAATCCCTCGGATCGCTCACTGTCACGGACACTGTCATTGCACTATTAAACACTGCACAATTAAACTATTAATGTCGTTCGGATAATAGGCCTTTCGCGTCCGCGTACACGTAAGCTTGTAATTCGTGCCCGACCGCGAAATATTTTTTCGCGATTTCGTCGAGACACGTCATCAGAATTACACGAGAAGCCGCAAATTTTCGCGTGTCGATACAGACTACACTCGCTAATGAGAGGACCTCGCGTCCGCGTTAATTAGGCGTTCGAACATTACTAACGCCGCGACAATGACGCAGTATATTGCTGGAGAGTGACGCGGTCCGTGCGGCTTGAGTGCCCGAGTCTAACTGGAGGCCATTTTGCGTCGCCGCAGCATGTAGCCGCTTTTCGGTGGGAGACGAATTCCCGGCTTCTGATTGGCTGGGGCCTCCCATCCGGCCATCGCCGTCTCGGTACGTACGTTGCGCCTGTTCGTGATTGTCCCCAAGCTGTGTAGCCTCAGGGACTGTTTAACGGTCTTAAGGCTCGTCTACAATAGCTGGAAGAGTAAGGCTGTAAGGCTGTAACGTAAGCTGTCAGCGAATGAAAATATTTCATTTCGTCGTCACGGATCTAACTACTGGACGGGTAAATGTGAAATAATTGTTTAGCCGCGTTAATTAAAATATATATTGTTGCAATAAAAGAAGGTTATGTAAATAGAGTGTACTTAATAATAGAACTTATTTTTAAACGAAATAATCCAGCAGCACAGCACAGGAACGCATCTCACCACAGTTGGTATGGTGTGGTAGTAGCTTAAAGTTTTATTTAATACTATAATTTCGATCCTAATTATTTAACGACGATGGATCTAACTAAACGCGGTGACGCTCTTTGCACATGCGAATTACAGATCGTCGGAGTCGATTGCTATGCGTCAGTTCTCAATTATCCCGGTCATCACGATAGGTCCTTAGGTGGTTATTTCGCAATTACGCGTTTTTACTGACTATGTTATCGTAACGGATCGAGATCACAGAACATACTAGCGCGATACTGGAGGCATGCGACTTACACGTCTGAGACGTTCACGTAGGGGGATTAACGCCGGGATGCAGCAGCTCTCTCGCTCTGTGTCACCAGCGGCTTTTCCTCCTACTCCCTCGGGTTTTCGCACGGCAGGATAATCCTGGGCACTGTCCGCGAGTGTTCACCCACGCCCGGTTTCGCGATTACCTCTCGTTACGCTATGACGCAATTCCCTTTGTTACGGGACGATATTCCGCAACACGTGTGTGCACCGTTCGCGCGTCCAGCAACGACTCCTGTGCACACTTCACGTGCCTAGCAACGACTGAGCAGGCTTGTGCCTGCTCGAAGCACAACGGCTTCCCCTACTGCTCGTTTTTTTTTTTTTTTTCTACGGCGGTTTTCGCTACAAAGGCGACCCTTATCTACAAAGCGGGTCGCCGCACTTCGTGTCTATATACATGCGTCAGGCTCGTACCTAATCGGGGCCCCCGCTGTGCTAAATAAAATTTTTATAAAATTATCGCGCGCTACCGCTATCGCTGTTACCAACGATTCGATAGTAAATAAATAAATTATCGCACGCGATATTTCTTATCAAGAGGTTCTTAGTTACCTCGAGTATTTCAATTAAAATACGCAAAACTTAATTTTCAACACGGATGGTGAGCTGGTTGTTTCGTGATTCGATTTAAAGTTAGTTAACAAATTATTAATAATAAAGACTCGTTAATTACGAATATGCACCTCACCATACGTGGTTACTTGTAGAACATAAAATAATGAATATATTAATCCATATGCGTGTTATAATAAACAATCTAATAAATTCGGCCAAGCCAAAATAAAATTTAACCGTTAAGTTGTGACCGGAGCGCGGGTGACCCATAAAATTTGGACCTCACCTATATGGTGACTCTTACCTATATGGTACCTATTTGATACCTGTATGGTCCCCCTGTATGGACCCTCGATGGTACCCTACAGGGTATGGTGCCTCTATGGTTTGGTACCTGTATGGCCTTGCTTTATGATCCCTCGATGGTACCCTAAACGGTATGGTACCTGTATGGTCTCCTATTCGGAGCCCCTATGGTGTCCTCCTTGGATCGGTTGATTACCTTGATGGTCCACCTTGATGGGACCTCTAGGAAGCGAGTCTGGTACCGGGATGGTACTCCTACGTGGTTGGTTCCAATGAACAGGATGGTGCACCTGTAAGGGTCCGCGAAAATACCGCGATGGTCCCGAGCTAATATTTATGGACAAATTGAAAAATTTTTGGTTAAAATTGTCTGTCTCGAGTTCCGCGCCTCAGCTTTGCCCCCGACGCACCTTTTATTATCGGTCGCCACCTTATTTTTTGGATTAATAAGGAAACCTTCGGTTTGAATTAATATCAAAGAAATCTATATGAAATGCTGGTTCGCGTCGCTGGACGGATTCTTTACTACAGTCGGAACCTATATGGAATACGATCGTGTACGAACGGAGGATAGGTATGATGGGTACGTATGTATATCTCGAATAAATGTTAAACAAACAATATCACATATATATTTATAAAATACAATAACGCTCTTATACTCTACCCTGAAATAATAGTTATTATTGTTGTTACTAGCTACGTCGGTTCGAATGGGCCACGCCCTTCGCGCTGACCTATGTGGTCGTATGGTCTAAGACGTATTTGCGGAATATAAAATATCAGACTTCCGTTCATCAAGCTTCTTTAACGACGCGCGTCTTAAATAACCGCTTTAGGCCTTTATCAATTCTCGTATCCCGAACGTTGGAGTCACAGAGTCGTGAACATTATTCACTAGCGAGTATTACTGACCGCGAATACCTATATGGTACAATCTCGTAGACGTATAAATCTATGGCGCGATTCACTATACAATTACGCGTAGCACGTCGGAATGGAAATAGACGAACTTACGATCACGCTCGAGGAATTTCTGGTACTTACGGGAGGCTTGCGCCGTCTCGCAATCAACTATCCCCGGAAGGGCTCTCTACTGCGCCGCTCGCTACGGCCGTTTCCTCTCCCCCTCGGGATCCGCCGCTTCCCACGGACCGTTATCCCCACTACGCGCCTCCTTTGTCCGCACGTCCGCTCTATAGTCGGACGCGGCACGCACTGTATACGTCTTTGTCATGCTCGCGTCAGGACCGTAGCTATCATGATGCGTCGCCCGCTTTTATATAAAACACAAAATTCTTTATAGTTCTTAAACTAAAAACAATATAATAAATCGGCTCGTGGCGACGGATACCTTATCGGACAAGGTATATATGCGCAAAAGTACGTTTTACAAAATGTGGCTAAAACAAAACTAGACCTGTAAATAATAAAAATTCCAATGCCAAAGTGTTAAGAACGCAGCGCACATCAATAATTTATAAATAACTTAATTTTGACCTATATGGTTCTTAGGTGGTACCTATGTGGCACCTCGCTAAATCGACTACCTATGTGGCTCTTATGGTCTTAATTGGTTCCCTGAGTGGTCAACCTACATGGATCTATGCGGCGACTTATACGGGATTCTTCTTGTGATCCTATGTGGTCTCCTTCGTGGTCCTCTAAGTGGTCTGCCTTGGTGGACTTGTCCCGTAACCTCGATGGTGTTCCTATGTGGCTCCCGGATGGTATCACCTCTTTAGATAGTAGGTCAGGACCTAGATCGTACCTCGGAGATATCCGGATGGCTGGTTAGATCCTAGATGGTAATCGAACGATGTTCCAATGGTTGGTCAGGACTTATATGGAACTCGGCTGATACTCGAATGGCTAGTCAGGTCCTAAATGGTAATCAGACTATATTCGGACCGTTGTTTATGGCTAGATTGTGACCGGGGTACGACGGCCCAGAAAATTTGTGCGAGCTCAATCCTATTATGGTCGTATGGTACTTCGACCGGGGTATGGTATGGTATGGTATGGTATGGTTTTGGTATGATATGGTATGGTTAGGTTAGGTTTTGGTATGGCTTTGGTATGGTTAGGTTTAGTATGGTTAGGTTTAGTATGGTTAGGTTTTTTTTAGTATGGTTTTTTTAGTATGGTTAGGTTAGGTATGGTTAGG